AAATTCAGCTTGCTAAGATGAAGCTGATATATATGAAGTTCAGTGTAAATGGATTTCGATTTTTTTACATGAGCCACCCTTTTTTAGTCAACATTATAAAAAGCTCATCCGTTAACTTATTTGTTTCAGTGACTTGCTTGCTCTCAATGCTACTTAAAATGATGTAAATCTTTCTTTGCTGTTATACTGAGACTGACAAATATATTTTGAGTTTTTTTCAGTGTGTGGAACCAAGGTTGTAAACAAGCAGTTTGAAGGATTGCATGATACCAATCCTCTAAATTTAGAAGACATAAGAAGAAGCTTATTTAGCTCTTAGTAAAAGCTAACTCATCTTTCAATGAAAGGGTATTTTCTATTGTTCTCAGAAATCTCATACAGAATATTCTGTTGTAAAAATCCTTAATCTGAATTCTATTGTAACAAATAATTTAATATCGGAATAGTTGCTTTTTTCTTGAAAAACATATTATAGCGAGGTAGAGGGGCAAGTAATCTTGCATAATACAGTACATCTGCTATTTTGAATCTACACCCATTTGGCTTCAAATGATTGCCCAAGTTGTATCTTCTGCCAAGGAATGCAGGGCTATTGTTTTCTTGGCTCTCTTAGTAGACTTTGATTCTATTGATCATGATGTCCTTTTGAATGATTAAAATTGCAGTGACTTCAGACCTTTAGGTTGGTTAAACTGACATAATGATGTTGGGAGCTTCTACTCCATGGATTTTGAGGTGCTACAAATTTAATCTTCTCATGGTTTTTCGGTTTTTCTGTGAAGATATAGAAAACAATCATTTGAAGACTTAGATGACACATTTGTTAATAATATACTGAGGAATTTCTGAAGTCTGAACTAAAAGCCTGTTTGGGGTGGGGGGAAATGAGAGTTAACATATGGAAAATATACAGGAAATAGAAAACTTAGCTATTGTACATAGGGGTGTTCAGCCATTTTGGGATGAACTTGTATAACTCATATGGTAGTAAGCAGTTTACCACTTGAGTGCAATCCCACATTTGGTCCTATTTCTGGGAATCCTGATTAGCATAGATTCAGGTATTCCCTTTGTGTTCACACTGAATTTTGACATTATGCTGGTTGTTATTAGTCTGACATACTTGTACTATTACTGTGCTGGTTAATTACCAGGGGTGAAATCTAATTTTTTTTGCTACCGGTTCTGTGGGTGTGGCTTAATTACTGGGCGGGGCTTGGTGGTAAGGTGACTGGGTGGGCGTGGCCAAGTCAATGTCACTTCTTTGCCCTTTTTTAACCTACAAAACACAACACAACACAACTGGCTCACCCACAATGTAAAAGCAGCTGTGCTAAACCCAAAATGGCCCCGCAACAAGCAGGAACCTCACACAGCCACAAAAAGCCCAAAAAAACAACTTTCACACTTTGCACACACACAACACAATTGGCTCACCCACAATGTAAAAGCAGCTGTGCTAGACCCAAAATGGCCCCTGCAACAAGCAGGAACCTCACACAGCCACAAAAAGCCCAAAAAACCAACTTTCACATTTTACACACACAAAATTCCACATACAGCTTTGTGAGATTTTGTGTGTTTGTGTAGTTAGAGTGAAACACTACAGAAACACACTAAATCTCAGAAAGCTGCACAAATATTATTTTATTTTTATTTATTTTTATTTTTATATAAAAGCAGCTTAATTTAAAACTTCCTAAACTTTAAATGGCTAGGTCTAAAAAAAGAACAACTTAAAAAAACCCCAATTAACTATTTTTTTTAAAGCTCCCAAAGGGGGAAAAAACTTATCCAATAGAAGAGGGGTCTCCAACCTTGGCAACTTTAAGACTTACGGACTTCAACTCCCAGAATTCCTCAGCCAGCTTTGCTGGGAATTGAAGTCCACAAGTTTTAAAGTTGCAGATAGAGCTGCTCACCGATGAGCTTGATTGCAGGTAGGGAGATTCAGTTGCTTGCTGATGCAATGGATTGCAGGTATTACAGCAAGCGCGTTGCGACCAGCAGCTAAGGTGAGCAAGCTGGAGGCTGGGGGGGGGGGGAAAGAAACTTTTCTTTTAAATGGGTCTGACAATCCAAGCTGCATTGCCTGATTAGCAGGCCATTTAAAAGGAAAAAAAGACTCTGATGATCGCGCGGCTCAGCTGGGCATGGGGGTCGGGGGCAGGGATTTTTGCTACCGGTTCTCCAAACTGCTCGCCGCCATCGCTACCTACTCACCCAAGCCGGTCCGAACCGGGAGCATTTCACCCCTGTTAATTACCCTCTCTCAAAACAAATTTAAATTTTTACCTATAATATTCTCCAAAAAATGCATGTTTTTTAGAAAAAGTGAAAAAATACAATAGAAAAAGGGAAATATGGAACAAAGTATAATATAACAATTTTTCTTTCCAATGCTGCAATATCAGTTTTTTGGCAATAGTAAGGGCATTGAAAATCTATTTGTGTTGGCCAATTGTCAAATTCCATGCACTAGGTATGTAATTCAACAGAGTATTATCCTTTGAAATTTTAGTTTTTGTTGCCTAATCTTATTTATATAGTCCACCATTTTCTCCCAAAATATAGTAAGCATTGGACATGGTAAAAACATGTGTTTTAAAGAACCATTATCCTCATTATTTCTCAAACAAAATGCAATCTCTTTTTGGAGAATTATGTTTTTGCATAAAATTTATTTTAACATTTTGTTCCTTTTCTGTTATTTTAAAAGCAATAAAATGTAAATATATAAAAAATACCTATAATATTACTGTATCCATAGACCCAACAATCTTCAATAACTGTTGATCAATTTCCCTTTTGAGGGAAGGTTTTTGAGAAGGTTGTCAGCCTAGACGTGTTTTCAAGCTGGGATTTATTGCTAAGATAGCTTTGGTTGTGCTTGATGGTTGGCAAACAATGGGACATCCCATCAGTGGCTGGAAAGGGCACAAGAACAGGCACTAGACAACAGATGTATAGAAGCAAGGGTTTACCACACTAGATAAGACCTGTGACCCAGACTATGCTAAGAGGCCTTAAAGAATTCCAACAAATAGTTGCAGAGGTTAAGATACAGGCAGGAACACCATATATCGAAACGGCACTACCAAGTAGCTGGCATTGTATACAGTAGGGGTAAGCAACCTGCGGCTCCAGAGCTGCATGCGGCTCTATGGGCCCTCTGCTGTGCTCCCTGTCAGGTAATCCCACCACTGGCTGGCCCCACCCCTCGCCCTCCCCTCCCAGTCACTCCTCACCTGGCCTGAGAAGGTAAGGGCGACGGTGGGGGATGGAGAAGCGACCAGGGCAGAGACAGAGAGATACAGAGAAAGGGGGAGAGAAAGAGACAGAGAGAGATACAGAGAGAGAGTGGGGGGGAGAGAGAGATATGTCAAAAGGATTTTGTGGTTCCTGGTGTTTTTTAACAACTGGTTCTCTGCCCTAATGACCAGCTGGGTAGGCGTGGCTGGGGGGGTGTCATGTGACTGGTGGAAGTGAGTGACATTGGGTTGGCCACGCCCACCCCAGGTTTTGTGGTTCCTGGTGTTTTCTGTGGGAAACGGGTCCAAATGGCGCTTTGAATATTTAAGATTGCAGATCCCTGATATACAGGAATATCCCCACAATATAGGGGCTTAAATCCAGATGGGAAATTCCACAGAAAGTTGTAGAGAACAACAGGGCTAAGATTCTGTGGGATTTCTAGATCCAGATGGACAGGCAGGCACTGGTCAATCAACTGGGACACTATGGTGGTAGACTAAGGACCGCAGTAGTGATAGATGTAGTGCTGCCAAGAGATAGCAATATTAGAAAGAAAGATGGAGGAAACTAGAGGTGATATGGAAAGTAAAGGCCAAAGTGGTCCCAGTGGTGGTAGGAACACTCGGGTCTGTGACTCCTAGCCCAGAGAGTGGCTCCAACAGATCCCAGGAAGAACGCAGTGTGAGAAAACAGCTAAGATACTGCACAGAAGCTTCAATCTTCCACATCTCTGGTAGAGGACCCAAGATTAAGGAAGACATACCATCCATAGGGATGAGAAGGGAGAATTTTTTAATATATAAATTTTATTTAAAACATTTTAGAAAGAATAAAAACAGTACACTTTTGAAAGAATAAAGAAAAATAGTAAGGAAAAAGTGCAAAGAAAGAAATAAGAGAAAGAAAACAAAGTTATAAATAAGCAGCTTCCAATTTTCTTATCAGCTATTAGAAGTACATTTATATTTCACCCTTTCTCTCTAAGGTTTCGCAATTATTCAGTGTCTTTCAGCAATAATGTCCTATATTCCTAGGGATTTTTAGTTGTGTCACTGAGAAGATGTATCTGTGTATGTGTAAATGTGCTTTTAATATTATTTTAACAGTGGGAATACCATTTATACTTGCTGGGAGATAGAGATAAAATTATTAAATGAGTGTAAAAAATTCCATTCTGTAGATAGTATTGCTTCTAAAAAGTTGAATTCAAATGTTTATTTTATCAAACATGAAGATTTGATGCTAATACACCCCCAAATACAACTCGTGTTGATAATATGAATAACTTGCTTTTTCACTTGATAGTGCACTTTGTTCACAAAGTGGAAATAGTTGTGCTTATCTTTAATTTCCTATGTGAGAATGAATGCTGGTATAAATTTATACTTTCATCTATCAGCGCCACATAAATCAACTGTCTGGATTGAGAAGAAAATAAGGAAGTTATTAAACATTGGTAGACTTCTAAGAAAATGAAGAAAACATTCATATTTTCTTTCAGACTCCAATCTCTTATAGTTTACTATTCATTTGAAATTGTAACGTCGGGATTATTTTCCCATTGCACTGAAGTAAATCTGTCCAATTTTAGACATATAGTCTGAATGCAAAACGACCTTGTTTGTGAATTTAGGGTTCTAGCGGGATAGTGAAAGTACTTTTTGAGCTAGCAACCATTTCAGACAGAAGATGCTTGTGTCCTGCCTGAAAGGCTGTTGATTTTTGTATGTTATTTTTGTCCACAGAAAAGGCTACAAATGAGTACAACACTGTTGAAGATTGGGCAGTTATTATGGATATTTGTGACAAGGTTGGAAGCACTCCTAATGGGTAAGACCCACCAACATATCTTGAATGTTATTTTGTAAATACTCTGATTAATTTGTGCCTTCTGCCCAGATCTGTCATTTTAAGCTGACATGCATATTTATATATATACTTACTCATAAACATACATATGCATACACACCAACTCACATACTACCAGACACAGAGTGATTATGCTATATTATCTTGTTTAAAAGGTTGTGGGGAGAAGTAGATCCACTTTATACCAAATCAAAATATGTACCTTAAAACTAGGTCCCTTTAGAAGATGTCCAGAACAGAAAGTAGCTTTCATCCAGCCAGTCAGTCCTAAGGGCAACATAAATAAAAACAGCAAACGTTTCTGCTAATAATTTCTATTCTCAGAAACTTGTTGTTATTAATTTCCATTGTTAAGTAGTTTTTTTTTTTTTTAAGTCTCATGAAATAAATGCTTGAGGTTAGACTGGACTAAAAAAGTAAAATGTGGATAGTTGAAAGACATCAGCATCTGCTTCCATTTGAATAATAAAAAAAAGTATTTCAAGTAGTAATTAGCATTCCAGTAATTAGCATTTTGCTTGTAATTGTATTTCTGTGGTGTTCTGTAGGTTACTGTTGTCTAAACTAGACACATTAAACATTTCCAGGTGATTAGGCCCTTTCACATTATCTTTTGTATCAACTTGTAGAAAGGTGACAGGTTTGCCTCTTGTTGATTGCTGCTATAATGTCTGTGCTCATATGGACCCAGTAAAAAATTGGAACTCAGCCATTCGTGAATCCCCAGGCACATAGAACCTCAGTTAATATACTCTGTACACTTGCATTCAATCAGTGCTGAGACAGCACGTATGATTCTGCTGCCATTCCCTGCATTACTGTTAGCCTTTTAAAATAGGCTAGTTACGGAAAGGGACGACACACCTTTATTATCCTTCTTGACAGCTACTGGTAGCAGTGTTACTCCTCCCTCTCTCTCCGCCCCTTCTAGAGTGGCAACTTTAATTTTCTTTTTCACACTGTCTTGTTTCCCCAGACTGAGCTCATGTTTTGCTAACTGCTACATTCCTTCGCCACAACCATTTCCATGGCTCCCTAGATATTGGAGTCACACCAGTTGTCATGCTATAGCAGCTGTTGTGTTTTGTAAACTATTGTTTATGCCTTGGTTATATGCGAATTCAGTTATAATTCAGTTCGTTTATTGAACAAACTGATGTGGCAACCCTGACCAAATCAGAAAACTGAAAAATAGCATTAGATTAATATAACAAACCATGATTCAAACTGAAGTGTTGAAATACTTAAATGATTGAAAGCTACCTATTTTATCCTGGATATTTTCTCTTAGAGATAGGTCTATTGAACTGACTGTGGCTTGCTTTGCAGAATATGATTGGGTTTTGAGGTTGAAGTATTAGAAGTGGATCTTCCTTTTGTGTCACTAATAATAAAATGATGCCCCAAAGCTCTTTCTTCAATGTCTTCTTCTTTCTGGGACTTTTTGTTCCCTTTTAAGTTATTAAAATAAGAGACTGACACAGATATTATTTTATCTAGAGCAAAAGACTGCCTCAAAGCCATTTTAAAGAGAGTAAATCATAAAGTACCCCATGTTGCACTGCAGGCACTAACTGTGAGTATGCATATAATTTATTCAGGGGAGAAAATTATCAGGTTCTTCATAAAACAATTCTTGTGAACTTAAAAAAAAATTAAACTATTGATATTGATGGCTAAAATAATTTTGCTAAAACAATAATCTTATTTATTTCTCAGTGTTACTGGCCTGTTTTCTTCCTATCCAGCTCTAGATGGGGGGGGGGGGCAGGGATTGATTAGGATCAATATCTTTATTACATATGGGCAGCTTTTTGCAATTCATTGTGAACGGTCTCATTTATTCAATTCTGTCTTCATTTTGTTAGCTGTTGGGAGCCTGTGTATCAAACTGTGGAAAAATTTTCCACTTAGAAATCTGCTCACGTGATTTTGCCAGTGAAGTGCGTGTCATAATAAACAAGGTGAGGTTTTTAGATGTATCATATTTGGAGAAAATTAACAGAAAAGTATATTGATTGTGTCACTGCATATACGTTTTGCATTTCTAGTATTAACTTAGAATGTAGAAATGAAATTTAAAAAAATACAATCTGTGATATAAATAGAGAAGGTAAAACTAAACAAAATTATGGTGTTATACTTGGGAGATTTGCTTTAATCATGAATACTAAAAAGAACATTTAATTTTTGCAATATCTGAACTGACAGCTTCCGCAGAGGAACAACAGATTGCAAAGAAAGGTTGAATATTCTCTTATGCTGTGTTAGAGTTAAAACAATAGGAACATTTCATAATCATTTGAACAATTAATTATGAAGCTGGTATATCATCATTATTTAGAATAGTACTGACAGTGGGGGAAGCCAGATTCGCTTAACAGCCCCAAAGTTCTTTTAATTATAGTGATTTGCTTAACACCATGGTGACAAAGGTCATAAAATCGGACATGACTCACTTAACTGCCTTGCTTAGCAATGGAAATTTTGTTGTAAGTCAAGGACTACCTATAGATAAAAACAGAACCCAGAGTCACTTAGTGAGGAGGGAGATTGTTGACTGTATAGAGACAGTATTGTTTTGACAACTTTTACAAGGCCAGCCAAAAAGATAGGGATAAGCAGGGTAACGTAGGGTCTCAATTTGCACCCACTAAGGTTTGTTGGCAGCTTTGGGAATGTTACACAGGTGTTGGAACTAAACAATTGGTTAGATCCAGAGCTACCCACTCCTTCTTCCCAAATATATCATGAGGTGCTTCATGGGCCACCTTGGGAGATTGTGGAGTTTCTGTCACCTGAAGGGGCTTCCCAGAAACTGTCATCCTTCCTTCCCAGTTCTTTCTAGAGACTTACTGCTGATAAGTCAGTGTGGCCATGTAGGAGATGTAGCTTATATTAACAGCTAAATTGTATCTATCTGTAAAAAAGACTCTGCTAGAGAAATGCCAAGTCATTGTTTGGGTTCAGATTGTTGAAAAGAGGAAGGAGAATTTTTTTTAAAAAAAAATGTATTTGTGCTGAAGCTTTAGGTTACCCAGTTCATGCACCTGAACTGAGAACAGGTAATAACGGTCTCTTCCTGGAGCCAACCTGAGATAGACTGGCTATTTCTGGAGCCTAGAAACTGGCTGCCAAGTTGGTGGGGCAGTTCCTTTATATAGGCCTACCAAGAGCTTTATTTATTTCCGCATTCGTATTTACATCCTGCCTTTTCTTCAAGAGCTCCGGGCAGCATCCATTTTTTCTCCACAACATTAACTTTATGGGGCAAGCTGGGGGAAATGAGAGCAACAGGGCCAAATCCATTTTTCCATGGCTAAGGATGGACTTGAACATGGGACCTCTCTAATGCCAGTTCAACTCTAATCACTACATCACATCAGCTCTCATCGGTTTTTAAATTGTGAAGCTAAGTCTTCTAATGTATATTAAAATACATGTCATCATACAATGGTCAGCCATCTCTAATATCACTTTTTAAATTTTTCTGCTAAACATGTCAGATTGTAGGTTTTCTTTGGACAACCAACTTCTTTGGCAGTTTGTTTTGTCAACTGTTTAAAGCTAATTTTGCTTCAGTCTGTTGTGCTTTCTTTTTTTAGGCACATCCTAAGGTATGTGACAAATTAAAAGCTTTGATGGTAGAATGGTCAGAAGAATTTCAGAAGGACCCCCAGTTCAGCTTAATATCAGCCACCATTAAATCTCTTAAGGAAGAAGGGGTTGTGTTTCCTACAGCTGGGACACAGGTAAGAGGTTAGAATTCATTTATGCCTACAAAAGTTTGGGGTTTTGGTGCTAACAGGATGACTGAATTTAAATTTTGAATGTGAGCACATTCAGCTATCCACCAATAAACTTTTTTCTACAAGAATTCCCCACACTGGCACTACAGAGCTGGGAGATGCTCTGTGGTGCACAGGGCAAATAGGCCTTGGGATGAGTAGAAGCTCATAATGTATTATTATACCTATTATATAATATACACAATATGTATGTAAGATTATCTGCTTCATAAACACTTTTAACATTGATTGAAGACTTTGCAGAGTTGGATTATACTCTGTGTTGAAGTGAGAATGATTACTATAGTATATTAATCCTGCTTTTGAAAATGTGCAGAAACAGTTTTGTGATCTAAAATGCAGTTGTATTAAATGAAGCCCTAAAATGGTATCATTTTTATATATATTTATGTTGCTTAGACTAGGAACCGTTCTGTACCAAATCCAAATGTATAAGAGCAGATATACCGCAGCTTTAAAAACAAGGACATATGGTTTATCCATATTGGGCTATTTGAATAGACCTGGCAAGTATCAACAGCCATTTGTTGTGGAAAAATGACTTAAATCTAATAGGCAGCATATGCAGGCAATATGCTGAGGTTGTAAACTGATCAGAGAGTGCTGTAAAGTACTATGGAGTGGTATATAAGTCTTAAATGCTATTGCTATTATTATTAACAGTCGATATGTGACTTTGGTTCATTCCCAAAAAACGATAACTGCTCCGAGCACCTGTTGGGTATGAGTCCTATGTTTTCTGACTTTAAACAATTAAAAAATACTTACCACAAGGTAAGCTAAAATAACACCAGTATTGTTTTCAAAGTGTAGGCAAATATAGAACTTTTCCCACTTGAAGTAGCATGTTTATATTGCAAGTATATTTACAGAGTCCCTCAGCTGCTGCCAAGAATGGTGCATCATCAGGCAAAAACAAAGAAGAAGAAGATATAGCTAAAGGTAAAACTTTAGTCATCAATTCATGAGTGATACAATACTTTACATGTTTCTAAGTTTGTACGTGGGAACAAGCTTGACGGTTAAAATGTGTGACATTCTCTGTTGAACACAAATTCAAATCAAACCCTTGCTATATAGCCAGTAGTAACAAAGGAAAGTTTGAACAATTGTATTTTTTAAAACTTTGTGAAGGAAGCAAGGAAACTATAAAGGAAACAGATGTTTATCTCAGCAAATGCATTTTAAAAAATGGTTTTGATCTCCTTGGAATTCTAAGGATGTTTGCCATTTCTTAAAACAAATTTCCAAAAGTATTACCATTTTATATTACAACTCTCCAGTTTCTGACTCTGCTATTTTTAAATATTTTACACATGTTTGGTTTTAAGTTATTAGATGCTCATAACCCTAGCTAACAAATAAAATAATAAGTATAATTCTTTGAGTTGGATTTAATTTCATTTACATAATATAAATTGTGTATGGATTTCCTCAAAACAGTTTTTTAAGAATTCTTAGCTTACACTTTGTGTATTGAGTTTCTTGTTGCTGCCTGGTTTTGAATCTTTTCATCTTTTTGGTTTGTTCAATTCATAAGCTAGAAACACTTGTCAGAGAAAATTTTACTCATATTGACCTTATTAGAGACATTAGTGCTCTAAGAACAATGTCTGACTTAAACATGCTTTTAATAGCTGTGTATGACTTTCTGGTCACTGAGAATTCACACCAACATGATGGCACTTAATCAGTCAGACTGCTGTGGTAATTCTGTTCAAATCCTACCTTCCAAAGAAACTTCAGATAGAGAGAGAGAGAGATAGAGAGATAGATACAGAGATAGAGAGATAGAGAGATTTGGATGGGACCATATAATAAAAACAGGTTCAGTCAATCTCTAAGCAGTTTACAGGCTATGGTTAATCTATGCCTTATTTAATATTTAGTATATGAACATCTATATTGATTTTACTACAGTTCTTTAAGGTGGCAAATTTGTACATAATCATAACTACTTGTATGGAAGGCTGCAACCTGTTTTGTCTTCCTCCCCCTAATTATACTGTAACAACAACTAACTTCCTCCCTCAACAACTTCAATTTTCAATCTATAGGAGGGGTGATAACTCTGAAGCATTTAGAGCAGTTAGCACCTTGTTTCCCACAATCAGCAGAGCTTGAATGTATTGAGTGGCTAGATTCAATCATCATGCTAAGTTTAACTGTGGTTTATTGAGTAAGACATGGCTGAATTCACACAGCTCACTAAGCTAAAACTAAGCAAACTGCATGACAGCTTTCTTAGGTTTTCTGGAGCATGTTTACAAGTAGAGTTTTTGGAATGTCCAATTTTTTTTTGGACTTTTTTCTAATCTTAGCATTGGGATGTACTTCCATTCACAGATCATCTCATCCAGAATTAACTATATGTACAGGTAGTTCTCGAGTTACGATCACAATTGAGTCCAAAATTTATGTTGCTGAGTGAAACATTTGTTAAGTGAGTTTCCCCCTATTTTACAACCTTCCTTGCCACAGTTGTTAAGTGAATCATTACAGTTGTTAAGTTAGTACTCCGGTTAAGTGAATCTGGCTTCCCCGTTGACTTTCCTTGTCAGAAGGTCGATCACATGACCCTGGGACACTGCAACCGTCATAAATATGAGTCAGCTGCAAAGCATCTGAATTTTAATCACGTGACCATGGGGATGGTGCAATGGTCGTAAGTGTGAAAAACGGTCATAAGTCACTTTTTTCAGGGTTGTAACTTTGAACGGTCACTAAACGAACTGTTGTAAGTCGAGGACTACCTGTAAAGAGATCTGAATGAGCATCTTTGTATAATTTTGATGCCCGAAGCTAAAATCAAATGAAAAGACACTTGTTTGGAACATTTTAGAGAGCTTTGTGCTACACACCATGACATGCAAGTAATTCACATAATTTTAACTGGCATAAAATGTGCTTCTGTTCTTCAAATTGTAGCTATTGAATTATCTTTGCAAGAACAGAAGCAGCAGCAGCAAACCGAGACAAAATCTTTATACCCATCTGTAGACATTCAGCATAGCCATCAAAAGCTCTCAAGAAAAGTGCGAGCCTTGTATGACTTTGAGGCAGTCGAGGATAATGAACTTACCTTTAAGAGTGGCGATATTATTGTTGTTTTGGATGACAGGTATGTCGGTATTTTATTATTTGTATTCAGATAGGGAATTACTGAACTCGAATGTATCTTTTAATATGCTACTTGCATTTTGAACAACCGCTTCAATATTTATTTCCAAACTCTTCTATGAACAAGGTTGATTCAGTTAAATAAATTACAATTTATTTACTATTCAGAAAATTTCCATAGCTATCATTTTCAGTAAAAATGCACTCTCCTTATTTGAGCATAAATTCAGTGCAGATTCTTCAGCATCTCAGAGACAGATGGTTTCATTGTTAGTTAGGATATACCATATAAAACTATTTTGCTAGGCCTTTTTTTCAGAATAACTTTTACTGAAAAATAAAATAATGATCTTAGAGCCAACCTGATGATAGCCAAGATGATACATATTTGTATAGTTATTAGAGACTGAAGAAATTCCAATTGAATTATTGCTTATGGCTGCTTGGAGGATATTTTTGCCAGGAGGTTCTGAAAGAACAATCTTCACCAGTTTTTGCAATTATATTACTCCCTCAGCTCACATTCCCTATTAATTGAACTTTTTGCCTTTGAACTTTTAGAGAGAAGTTAGTAACTTATTTTAACTATTAGCAAATAGAATAGAAAGTATGCTGATTGGTATATGCTTGAGCATTACTTTTATGAAACATTTTTAAAGTCTGAAAATCCAGGTTAAATTTTAGTCTTTAAAAATGATTATTTTTTTATCTGCCGTTTTTGTAAGAAGATGTCAATTTTTAAAAAAGGGAATAGGAACCACTCTTGTTCATGTATAGCTGGTTCTGTTTGTGCATTTAACTCACAACCTATACCTTGTAATAAAGATAAAAAGGCCCAGTGTTAGAAACTATTCTAATTGCTATAACTCTACCCCACTTTCAAAGTCTATTTAGAAAATTATTGTCCTTAATTGTTTTGGATAAATTGGGTCTTTCTGAGCTAGATGAAGGTTCAAAGAGAAAATCATAGGTGTTGCTAAGAGCTCATTAGTTTGTATTTCCTAATGGATAGGTTCTCGTCTATATTTTTATACCGTGTTTCTCCAAAAAGACGACCCACCATGAAAAGAAGCCCTATCACATTTTTTGAGCGCGTGCAATCAAATTAAGCCCCATCTACAAAATTAGCCCTAATTAAGATCCCGCCCACCCCGGGGCGCAGGGGGTGGAGTGAGGCACACTGGTAAAAAATAAGCTAGGGTGGGGAGGTGGGGTGGAGCTGCCCTACTTACCAGGCCTCGCATACCCCGACACTTGCCTCGCCTTCTTCTGCAGCTGCTTGCCACCACTCGCACGCATTGCCCTGGCCTCCATTTCGTTTTCAGATGCCTGACGGCATCTGTTATCTGCAGCTGATAACAGAGCTCCGGACTGGTCCGGAGCTCTATTATTGGCTGCAGAGGGATTTCTGGAAGGCATCCGAAGGCGAAATGGAGGCTGGGGTGATGCATGCGAGTGGTGGCAAGCGGCCGCAGAAGAAGTGGACCAGCAGCAGGCTCCTGCTGGGCGGTGCTGTTGGTGCCACTGCCATGAGGTGAGTCAATAATTAAAATCCTCCAAAAAGAAGGCCTAGCCATTTTTTCGGGGGGGGGGGGGGTCAAAAGAAAATAAGACCCGGGCTTCTTTTTGGAGAAACACGGTAGCTATAGCTTTCCCCACCCTTGTGTCCTCTTGATGAATTGGAATTATAACTCTCTGAATCCTTGGAGTTACCGCCCCAGCATATATTGAATAATTAGATTGGGAAGATGACATGCATCATTTATTTAATCTTGTAAAAATAAAATGACAGCCATTTTGGTGAAGTAATGAAGGCACCAGGCTAGAAACCGGAAGACTGTGAGTTCTAGTTCCACCTTAAGCACAAAGGCAGCTGGGTGATCTTGGACCACAATTTAGGATTATGTGCCTGACATTTCCTTAAATGAACTAAGTACAGAGGAAGGCAACATAACACAAGTTTAAATAGTATTAACCGATATATTGAGATGATTCCATGCTGAGGGTGGAAGACAAGCAAGAATCTTAACATCATAGTTCTATTTTCATGTGTGTGTTAAAATACCCTTTTTTAAAATTGTGCAGTGATGCCAATTGGTGGAAAGGAGAAAATCACAGAGGAATTGGATTGTTCCCTTCTAACTTTGTGACTCCTAACTTAAATGATGAGCCTGAAACAGGTAAACGGAATAGAAATTTGATTTTCAGAACACTTCAGGAGTCATATATGTAATATCATCCCATTTTTCAGGAAACTACTAAGAAGCTGAATGATTTGTCCAAAACTGCTAGGTATGCTGGAAGACTGTTAGTCTTCTGCCTTGTAATGCCCACTCCTGTTCTAATTGTTAACTCACTGTTACTTAATGTTCAATAATCAGAAGGTCTTGCACTTGCTGAGAAGTAATTTGTCTCATGTCTGTTAATGGCGTATTGTTCTGGAGCTGCATATGGAGATGATACGAATTGTATTCATGAAGAAAGTTTATTGTTAAATGTCATGTTCATGATCTAGTGTGTTTACTGTTGCCAGACAAAAGTATTCTAATATCATGAGTCAGACACTGCTATAATCATGATTGGAAGAATAATTTGCTCTGAATTATGCATTTAGATACAAAGTGCTTTTATATTTTAGAAGAGATAGTTTGAAATCGCACAAACAGAATTTAAAATTTATTTTATCTGTGTTTATATATTCTTCACCAGGGCTTTCCAGCCATTTGGGTTAATGAAAAATACCCCAAACTAGCAAAACATATATTGAATATCCATGGATTGATTAGGTTATTAAGCCAAACATCTCAAGCATCAGGGTTCACAAAGCAACAAGAAATTTATTTCTAGACCAATGCTACCTATGTTATTAAACTGTGAAATGCCTCCCAGTCTTTATATTACCTTTATCCTGAAATTTATTTCAGTCTGTAACTTTACCTTGTGTTGTATAATGTTTGCCATGCAAAAGTGTTTTTTTGCCTCTGCATCCATTAGGATTTCTTGTCACACACTACTTTACAAACATACCCAAACTATTGGTAGATTAAAAATATTTAAGCAAATACTAAACATTATCACCATATTAACTGTCTTATCTAAAAAGCTCAATTTCCAAAGTTTGCTCTTCTTGCTGTTTATTTGTACACAGTAATCTAAATTATTAATAATCTGAGTCGTTAGGTCTGTCTTCGAATCTGTACATGGGGTATATTGACAAAAAATTATTGTATGCTGAGAAACTAGATTTAGAGGAAGACTAATGTTGTCATGGTATTTACGCAGTGCCTGTAGACAAGGATGCTTCTGAAGACACTACTGAAGTTACAAAACCTGAGCCAGAGCCAGTGTACATAGATGAGGTATGTCTTGGTTTTCCATCAGCATAATACATTTTAGGCAGCTTTTTCTTTGAAGAAGCTACCATGTCCCCTTGTCACAAGATAAATTTTGTTATTGATTTTGAGAACTTGAATTCCCAATTTAAATATCTTTCTAAATATGTTTTCTCCGTCTTCCAGAATAAGATGGATAAGACACTGCAGTTACTTCAGAGCATAGATCCAACAGATCCTAAATCTGATTCTTCTGATCTCCTGGATTTAGAAGGTATCACTACTGCTACATATGATTTTTTTTTTTAAATCCTAATCCCAGACTTCTTGTCCTTTTCATGTTTTTCATTTGTTAAACCAAATCTGAAAGGCAGGTGAAATTGTCCTTTCTTTTTGCGTGCTAGGCAAAGTATCCATGCATTGCATTCACCTCAGTGCTTTTATTTATGAGCAATTAACTGATCAGATGTTCATATTTTACTGTTCATAGATGTCTGTCAACAGATGAGTCCCATGATAGATGAAAAGCTAGAAGAAATTGATAGGTAAGGCAATTGTGTAATGCTTATAAGTAAAAAAAAAATGCAATTTATATTTAAGTAGTACAGTAGATGAGTAAAAAATAAGATGGGTCATCAAACAGCTTCAAAAATTCAGATATCCTACGTAGTGTAATAATTGTGAAAACTAAGCCCAAAAGACTGAGTGTGGTACGTGACATATTATGCAAACTGGCATATGACACATATTTAGAAATTAATAATTTATTTCCAAGAATCTTTAATTTCTAGGCTGAGGTTTACTGAGGGTGCTTGATGCTCTTTGAGTTTGGTTGTTTTCTTGCTAATGTTTCATTCATTTCATCATCATGCTGGCACTTGGGTAATGAAATGTCAGCAAGAAAACAGCCAAGCTCAGAGAGTAGCAAGAATTCCTCATTTGAACCCTGTGCTACAAATATTCTTCCTTATGTAGTTTTACTATACTCAAATTAAACAAAACCAATTGATCAGTGATAACTGAAACTACTTCATTCGCTCTAATTAGGAAACATTCAGAATTGTCCGAACTAAATGTGAAAGTGATGGAAGCTTTGGAACTCTATAATAAACTAATGAATGAAGCTCCTATGTATTCTGCATACTCAAAGATGCACTCAACGGCACAGTATGCACCCACGTCAGCCAGTGTTCCAGTGCAGGTCAGTGCCTTATTTTTACTTCTACTTTCTAGAAGGATTCCCTTCACATATAATGGCTGCTGCAGTGCATACAAGAACAGACCACTGCAATATGAAGGACTTGAATTTCCACAAAGACTTTAAAGTTCTGGTGCAGAATGTATCAGCATATGCTTAAACAAATGTAGATCTTACCTCTTTCTTAGAATTAATGAGTGTCAAACAGTGTTGTAATTGCAGCTTTTCCATGAACCTTCAATCCAAAGAATTCTGTTAGTTGGAAGTAGTTTTTCATGATATTTGTCAGTTCTGTCTTCAGAATCCTTCAAAACAGCTCTCATAAGGTATTGAAAACCTTGTATGCAGTGGTGGGAATGTTCTGAGTCTCAGTTAGGATTAGGATTGAATTAAACATGTCTCCACCAAAACTTAATAAGTGAGTGAACAGAGTTGCTTTCTCCAGTATGACTCAGATGACACATGTAAGACTTGCTGGGATAGCGGGCAAAATCTTGGACACTATGCATGACTCCCCTCCCAAACACTCGAGCTGCTTCATAGATGACCTTTCCACATTCATATATCAGTGCATTTTGTGTTGCTTTATGGACTTTCAGTGAGACTAATTGAGAGTTGTTAACATACCTCACAATTTGACATGCACCAGTGAATCTACATCGCCTTTGGTTTATTTAGTTTGTGTTTTTCATAAAGGAATTGCTGGAGGATGGAGTTTGAGGGAAGAAAAGTTAGAAGCGCAATTAAATGAAAAAGATGTTGCGAATTTTAGATGGATTTTACATAATACAGTATGAAAAGAATAGTTACTATGGTAACTGCCACATCAAAGATAGTACATTCATCTGTTATATTTTCCGTGAGCTCTTTGAAATGATTGACAGTATTTGGGGATGTGAGGAGAAATAATGAGCATTAGATGAACTAATATTCCTCTCACTTCAAGGTAATATTGTATACAGTTGAAGGCTACAGAACAATAAGGGAATATCTACATTTAAAGGAGCAAATATTTTTATAATATTATTTAATCTCTACTTACACACTGTTGAATCACGAAGCAATCATTTTCTGTAAAAATGCTTGCTATATTTCTTCAGTATTTTCTTCTTTATTTATTCGTTCATTTAAACGGTTTTAAGACTATGTTTAGAGAAAAAATCTCTTAAAGCAAAATATAGCATTTAAAGTCACAGTTGTGATATAAATAAGATTCTATTAAAACCTTATAAACATAATAAAATACATTCATTGCTAGTCAAGTATTTATTTAACTCTGTTATAAATTCTGGATTGATAAAAAGATATTTTTTGTGAAAGCAACCATATAATCTGCACCATATGAGATTATCTTCATTTAGGGTAAAAATAGGCTCATATTTTCTTCATAAAATGATAGGCCAAAAGTCCTTTTTAGGACCATGAGATTTAGTACATTTTTTAAATGAAGCACTCTAATGTATATAACATATTTATGTCATTCTAACACATTGTTGAAAACACACATAGTTTTCTTGCCATCCATGTTATTCTGATCATCCTATGACATTGGTCTGAGAGACTAAAATTGCCCTATGCTTATTTTATAAGCTTTGTACCTTTAATAATGTCCTGATGTAAACTTATTACTTCAGCGTAGCAGAAATACAAAGCAAGCTGCATGAAATCTGTCGTAATGGACAATGGCATTTCTTCTTGGGCTAAAATCATATTCAATCTTATCTGGCATATTGAAGGTTGCATTAGAAATTAGCAGAGTTTGAGCAAGAAGAAACTAGCATCTCTTAATTTTCTCAACTAAGCTACCTTCTTCATTACTTAATTTCCAAAGTGGGTGTGGGTATATATATGCTATAGCTAAATAAATCTGATAAGCCCTTGATAAAGATAGCCACAGAAGAACCGCAACAAAGCTTCAGTTCTATTAAATAAGGATATAGAAGCTATAATGACATTAAAATAATGAAAGCAGGATGCAGTGATCTGTTTGCAAATTGCTTCAAACCACATAGCTCAGTGGAAATTAAGAAAAGGCATGGGTCCTTTACAGTGCACCAACTGTGCCACAAGCATGACCCCTGCCCCCTCCCCCAGCATCTGTTCTGAGAAACCGCTTTCTTAAACTCCTGCAGATGATTCTTGCAAGCTTTGAAGGTTCATGGATTCATCCAGTGATAACACTATTTCACTTCTCATGTAGTGAAAGTTCTTTCCCCGCTCTTCCCATCTCTTCCATGTTCAGATCAGTTTCAGAGAGTCCTCATCTGTCTGTACCTAGCAGATTTGAAAGATTATTTTGGCAATAAAAAAATTGGTTCTGTCTGCATGGTATTGGTGTGCTACTTGGGTTCTTGTATTAATGACTACTGGAAGACTTACTGCTCCTTCCTTTTTAGAAATATCCCTTGGGCTTCAGAAGGTCAGTTCTGTTCTGCTTCTTTTGCAGTCATATCCCATCCATCCGCACAGTGGGAATTATGTGGTCCATGGTATGCCTCCAAACTACAATCCAGGAAGCGACCAGATTGGTCCACTGAGGTCTTTGCCTCCAACCGTGAATTCTTCAGTACCATCTCAGCCCCCTCCGACCTACATGAGGTAACCCATTAGCAAGTTTTAGCTAATCAGCTTTATTCCCATCTCTTCATTATGCTTGTGGGGTTTGCTTAAGCTAATGTCTTTATTGTATTTCAGCCCTGGTCTAGATTCTGTGCCCAGTTCTACTTACATGAACCAGAATTCTTGCCTCCCGCCTGCTGGTCCCGTTTCTTATGCCCAGCAGATGACCATGCCGGTGGATATGCTAGCCTACCAGAACACTGCATCCAGTTTGCCTCAAGGTCCGTGCTATCCAGCAGTTCCCACTCATTCACTTCCACAGCAGCAAACAAATTATCACCAGCAGCCTCTCCTGTGAAAATGCAGAGTCGGAGCCTGGGAAGCGTTTCAGATGTTGCTGACCCGTAATCTTTTAAATTGTCCTTCCATTGATTTAAAAGGCTACTTCTGCTGAAGGGAACAGACAACTAAGCAATTTCAAAGTAAATGTTAATTCAGGCTTAACTGTTTTTCTGCATAGCCATTTAAACTAGATGAGCTGCGGTTGTGTGTTTTTTTTTAAAAAAAAATCTTTCCAATCCTGACTTCTGAAATATTCTGTGTCTCCTCACTATTTATAAAAATGCCACTTCAATTTTTCCCTTGTAAAAGAAGCTTGAAAACAAAGCTGATATATGCAGCTCCTGTTTGTTCTTTCCAGACTTTGGGAATATAGTCATTGTTTTTTAATGGAAGCCTTACATTTGAAGTGCTTTCTTTGAAACTCAGTTTAATTAGTTAGTTTGGATTTTGGTTTACACCCTTTTGAGATCATAATCTTAACAAGATTGCCTTTTGAGATTATACAATAAAATCTTTACGAACCTGAAAGGAAAACTCACTCCCTCCCTCCCTCCCTCCCTCCCTCCCTCTCTCTCTCTCTCTCTCTCTCTCTCTCTCTCTCTCTCACACACACACACACACACACACACACACACACACACACACACACACACACACACTTTGAATGTCAGAGAAGTTAATGGATTTTATGGTTTCTGCCAGAATGGATTTCTTACTTGCTTTTCTCAAAAATTAGTTTTATTGCTGTGGAGTAATATTCTCTATGTGAAGACGGAGAGTTTAAAGAGTACATTTTTAACTTCATAAATTCCCTAACACAAATGGACCTGATCAAATCTGGATCAGTCTTTTCTCTCTGTTCTCATTCCCTGGCATTATTGAATATGAAGGAGAAGCTGATAATTATGCTGTACTGTAGTCACAGCAAGGATTTATGTGCAGATTTTTTTTTTTTAACCTTAACTGGTAAAATACACATTGTGTAAGGGAATCCAAAAAGGGATATGTATTTTTCTATTGTTGGGAGGTCAAAAAGAGTTCCTGACCAGGTTTTTAAAAAGAAAAATTTTCTGTTCTGGATACTTCATTTCTTGCTACTCATGGATTTTATCCTATTAATAACAGGATTATTCTGAGGGAGGGAAAATAGATCTTGCATACACTATAGTTGGAAATGGGAATGGATACCTTATTAAAATAAGCAGAAATGTATAAGTCAGTGCAAAGAAACCATTGGCATTTTATACTATGCTCTGAAGAATTGTTCTGCAGTATCTGACACCCGTTGTATCTAGCATCAAATGAGCCCCATTTTTCACTTCCAATATTGGTGCTAAGTAAGCTATTTAGATTTCTAGTAATATAGTGATCTAGACTACGATGTCTTTGAGAAGGTGGTTTCAGAAAAACATAGCTGCTGTTCATCTCTTTCTACCAACAAGAACATTTGAGTTTTCCTTTTTGGTGTTGGTTTTATTTTAATCTTCTCAAAAATGTTTAATTTTAAAGGCTGCTTTTTAAAATCCTTATTTAGAATCAAGTCCGGGTTTTCTCATTCAGCTCCAACGTTTTATAAACAAAATGAGGATTTTGAATAGTGCATTGCTCTTCCACATTGATACATTATAGATGGTCCATTTATATTGATCACAATCTTTGATACTACTTTAAGCGGTACCCAATATCTGACTGTGATGTTGAGTTGAAACAGTCTTTTTTCACTGCATTTTCTCCTTTATATATAATGTATAAATAATAAATGTGTGTATATATATCCACTGGTCTGAGATTTTATACACAACAATATATATACTAATTCTCTCAAATCACTGAAGTTTTATAGATAGCTGCATTTGGCTCTATTGTTAATTGGTGTAATCTTAAAATGCATTTATGCAGGCTGTAAATATGTATAAATTCTGATGTTGAATTGGTGTATTTAGTGTTTCGGTGTCAGTAGGGATCATGTTTCTTCCCTTTTCTAAACTAAAATATTTATTGTTAAGGCATGATTATAATGATGCTTACCAAAGGAATTAACAAATTTCCATAGTTAGGGCCCAGACTTTCATTTGCATCAGTGAGTATTTAGCCATTGATTTGAATGGAATTTCAACTATACTGCAGACGTATAACTATTTTTATATTAAGAGTAAACAATACTTGCTTTGCTTGACATACATTAACTGAATAAATAGAAATTCTTTACAGTTCATAATGAGTGTTGTTTTGTAATTTATTTTGTGGGTGTTCAATTAAGGTTTGATTTATGTTTAGAAATAATTTGCTATCTTAAATTTGTATTTGAAAAGTTGCCCAAGATAATTGTCCAAACTATATCACCATATGTTTCAGGGTTTTTTTTTCCTTACAGAGATTCATTCTTAAATAGCCTTGTGATTTCAAAGGCTATGGAGTCCAAATATTTTCATATTTCCATTTGCCATGCCACATCCCCTATTAAAGTTGCAAGAGTTTTAAATATCCCTTATTATAGCGACCCCCAACCTTTTGGGCACCAGGGACCGGTTTGGTGGAAAGAGGTTTTTCTGTGGATCAGAGGGGGCATGGTTTCACATGCTGCCTGTATCCCGCGGATGGCGTTTTGCAGACCAGTTTCTGGTATACCGAGGACCGGGTGTTGGGGATCCCTGCCTTATTACTTTTGTGCTGACATGGTTTTTCAGAAAATAAAAGAGCCTAGAAATGTAATATTTCCTTTACTATGTATCAGTGCTGCCCCTTATCCAATTTAATAGCACCAGTGGTGGAATTATATTAATCTTCTCATCGTTCCTATCACCTGTCTCCTCCCACTTATGACTGTATGAGTGTAATCTTGTTGCTGGTATCCTTAAGATTTATATTGATTGTTTTCCTAGAACTATCATTAAGTGTTGTACCTTATGATTCTTGACGAATGTATCTTTTCCTTTATGTACACCGAGAGCATATGCACCAAGACAAATTCCTTGTGTGTCCAATCACACTTGGCCAATAAAGAATTCTATTCTATCTATTCTATTACACCCCATCCCCCAAACTTCATACAAGCCCTTCATAGCTATTGCTGATTAGATTGGGGAGACATGCAGAATGGGTACAAAGGAAAGCGAAAGGATACATAGAATTACATAGAATCATAGGGCTGGAAGGGACCTTGGAGGTCTCCTAATCCAACACCCCCCCCCAAAGCCAGGAGACCATATATCATCTAGGACAAGGGTGGGCAAATATGGCCCCTTTATGATCTGTGGACTTCAACTCCCAGAATTCCTGAGCCAGCTTGGCTGTCTCAGGAATTCTGGGAGTTGAAGTCCACAGGTAAAAGGGCCACATTTGCCCACCCCGATCTAGGACAAATAGATATCAATCATTTCTTGAAGCAATGGAGCGCCTCCAACTCCGGGAGGCAAACTGTTCCATTGATTAATTGATCTTAATGTCAGGAAGTTTCTCCTTAGTTCCAGGTTGCAACTCGCTTTATCGAGCGTCCACCCATTGCTTCTTGTCCTGCCCTCAGTTGCTTTGAAGAATAAGTTGACCCCCTCTGTGACTGACCCTTAAGTACCAGAAGGCAACTGTCATGCCACCCCTATTCATTGAACTAGACAGCCTTAGTTCCCTTAACCATTCCTCATATGATTTAACCACTGAACTTCTTACCTTTGTTGCTGTTCTTTGCACTTTTTTTCAGGGTCTCAGCATCTTTTGGGCATTGTGATGACCAAAACTGGACACAGTATTCCAAGCGTGACCTCTCTAGCACCACTCTTAGGTTGTGTTTTTGTAAAAGGTATTGTTAATCGTGTAATGCCTGAATATAACCCATAATTTCTCAAAAATGTGCCAGGATGCTGCACATAATCAGGAAGTGGTTTGTTTGCTTTTGTAATAAACTTATGTAGAAAATTTAACTCCTCGTGACACTGAATTAAATTTACTTTGAAATTGCATTTTAAGTGGTGGACAAAAGGGGATTCTACTACAGAAAGATGGGATCAGTGAAATGCATTCTGAAGATTTAATCTGTAGAAAAATGCTGTTATTCTGGTTAATTGTTCAAGATCAGATTTAATCATTTCTTTCCTGCAACAAATTACATTATGAATATTTCTGTACAATATTTTTCAAGCAACCTCTGGTATTAACTGTGCAATCTATTACTTTAGAATATCTTGTCTCCAACTTATTTGCACGGACTTGTGCAAATAAAACTTGTTTAACAAATTCTTTAGTTGTCTTTAGTTGTGTTTTATATTGTGGTGGCGCAGTGGGTAGAATGCAGTACTGCAGGCTACTTCTGCTGACTGCTGGCTGCCAGCAGTTTGGCAGTTCGATCCTGACTGGGTCAAGGTTGACTCAGCCTTCCATCCTTCCAAGGTTGGTAAAATGAGGGCCCAGATTGTTGCGGGCAATATGCTGACTCTGTAAAATGCTTAGAGAGGGGCTGTAAAGCATTGTGAAGTGGTATATAAGTCTAAGTGCTATTGCTATTGCTTCATGGTTGATCCCCAGTATTTTAAATTAGTTTGTTTCTTGGAATGGAAGCTGGCTTTTCTTCAGGCTAGCTCCAGAAGTAAATTGCCTTCTCCTATCATTATTGCATTTCATTGGACAGGTGGGAGTGTTTTTTGTGGAAATCAAAATGGTGACTATGCATAATTCCAAGCCTCAGGCCAATTGCATTCACAATTGATATCAGCAATGGGCCCTTAGCACTCCAAAGGTAGCTAATACTGATGCCAGATGACCTTTTCATTCAGTTTAGTTTTTTTCTATATACTTGGGTGTCTTTTCAACTGCAGGGATTGTAAAGAAAATTATGTGCTGAAACCAAATATCGCCACAAGCCTATAAAGCTTGACACAGCATGATTCGGAACAAAGAGCAGTTATGTATGCATAAGCAGTCGTTGCCTTTTGTAGCTAATTGCTTCTCCTGGAAAATTGTTTCTTTGAATAGCCCCAAAACTCTGGAAAATATAGGATCTTGTGATACGCAATGCTAGAGGTGATGATTGATAGTGGAAAGGCCCAAGAGATGTGCAAAATATTTTTAAAATGGAACAGTTGTGAATTTGAAAAGAGCTGTTTTGACCTCATTGGAAGTGTTCCAATGCTCCTCCAAGCTTAAAATATCTTACTTTGCAGTTAAAACACTCAGTGGGGTTTTAAAAATTTCTGCTGAGGCCAGAACAGCTCATTCTGGAGTCGGGGCTGTTCACATTTCAAATATTTTACAACCTCTAGATAATTCCACCCTCACAAAGTTCCTTCAGTTTTTTCAAACAATCACCTAGATACCATTCTCAAATTCCAGATTTACAGCATACATACATAGTCTCAGTCATATGTGTGGTAGTAGGCCATCTTTATCTAGACTGCTCATGTGTATGAGCCCACTGATCCAGAAAGGAACTATTGTTTTTGCAATGTAACATGGTCCTCCAGCTTTGCAGATAATTATTGTATTGGTTAGCTATATCAGATTGTACAACCTTGGGCAAGCTGTATATATGTGGATATCAACTCCCAGTATTCTCAACAATGACTACATTGGTTGGGAATTCTAGTTTATGTCTGCATCTGAAGCCTGTCTTCTTGGCAAGGCTGGATTACATACAGAAGGATATTTGGGACAATAATGCTGTATTTATATTGCTGATTATATTACTGCCCCTGTGGATAAATGCAGTCGCAGCATATTTCTCTTGTTAACTTCACACTGACATTGTGGTGTTGAGACACCAATTGCTGATATGTCTTTTCTAAAAAAAATAGGAAAGTGGGAGAATGATGAGGAATCAAGAAAGCAAAAAGTTCAGAATATTAGTTATTAAAACAAAATATTACTCAGAACATAACACAAGCTAAGGATACCTTATGACCCAGTTAAGTGGGAATAAAGGATTATGTAATTTGCCCTCCTTATAAGGCTTGGAAGCAAACTGTTCCTGTGAGTCATTCTTCCTCTGTAATTCACAAGATCCTATACTGTCAATTACTTATTTGCATTGACGGCATCACTTGAATCTGAGTGTTTTGGCATCTTTAACAGAAGAAAAGAGCCCCTATAATCCTATTGGGATTGTTGAATCTTCCAAATTATCTTGTACCATTTTGGAATGCTCAGCTGCTGACAATCTGGCATCCTCTTAAGAGAGATAAAATACAAGTAGATCAGAGAGGACAATAAAAATTTATGATGTGTAAAGTTGGTTTGAAGTCAATAAAGGTTTTGGACAGTTATTTCTCATTCATTAATGTACCTGATTTCTAAATGGAATGAAACAAAGTCAGATAATAAAAACTGTTCATCTTTACATATGTAACTTCAATTTCAAAGAACTTCCTATACCTATTTTTTTTTTTAAAAAGCTAAGATACTTTTTGATGCTTGTCTATGGAGGTTTTCAATCATCTAGGTCATGGTTGTCCCAAAGATGCTTTTTCAAGAGGCAACTGGACTTTCTGGTTTTTCTTTGAAGACGTTGAAGAGCTGAAGAAGTTTCTTGGATGAGAAGCGAAACGTCTTCAAAGAAAACCCAGAAAGTCCATTTGCCTCTTGAAAAAGCATCTTTGGGACATTTTTGATCCTTGCTATGTTCATTGTCTGTTAACGGTTCTGTTTTACACACAACTTTGTTTAATACTCCAGAACTGATAGCAATCTATTGTTTTATTTCCAGAAGAAGGAAAATTCCTCTTGACAAATTACAGTATTCAAAATTATTAGCAATTCTTCTTTTTATATGGTTGTTCATGGCTGCTTTCATAACCAAAATAATTCAGAGAAGAGGTACAGTATTATGTTTTAATGGCACATTTCTCATGACAGAATTTCTTTACTCTTTTAACTTATTGTCATTACTGTTGCTTTATCATTGTATGTCTGTTAATTTTATTGGCATTAGACCTATGTCTGGATGAGACAAACTAAGCTTCAGATATTTTGTTCTGATGTATCGTAACAAAGCAAGAAATAAGGCATATTATGACTTCAACCCATTTACCAGCAGTGGTCAGAGGAATTCTGAGTAACAGGTTAATCTCTGTGTGGTTCTCCTCTCCACTTACTGAGGTGCTCTGAATACCATGGTCAAGAGGGAGAATGGCTTACAATAAAGCAGTTCCCACAGCATTTCAGACTACTAATTCGTCTTTCTGTGCCGAGAGAATTTTTCTAATTTTCATATTCTTCATAGCCCCAGTGGTGATTGATCAAATTTGAACATTCTTTATTTTTTGTTCATTCTTTATCAGCTTCTCCCCTGACAGCCAATGTAGTCTCATCTATTAAGTTTTCAGAGTTATCCTGCTGATGGAGAGACTTCCCTGCCCACTTCACACAGTTTCTTTTCAATATACTCTGGTTTGAAAAAAGAAAAATAACAAAAGAGGAAAAGTACGCTGTGTGTGGCTTCTAGATTGCTTTTCCTACATCTTTGTCAGCAATGGCCCTAGGAGGCATTTGTTGAATCACTTTCGGTTTGCATGTTTCTGCTCTCCCCTTGTGTCTACCAGGAAGCAAAGGGAGGCTGTGTGTACACACACTCTGAACTGAAGAAAAGGGGACTTCAAATGGAACAGTCGGCAATATTGTGAACTGCTACCCAACTGCCTCTCTCTCCCACCGGGGAAATTCTTTTCTGAAAGAATCCACTAATTTCACCCAGCCTGGTTTTGAATTGGTTTTTCTTTTGCCAGCAATTTTCATCTCATTAAATTTGTCCAGTTCTATTCTGGGGAAGTTATTATGCTGATAAAGACTAAGCCAATGGTGTCCATGATTTGGGGGGGGGGGGACCACAGAGTGGTGAAATTCAAATTTTTTTACTACCGGTTCTGTGGACATGGCTTGGGTGTGGTATAGCTTGGGTGTGGCAGGGGAAGGATACTGCAAAATCTCCATTCCCACCCCACTCGGGGGCCAGCCAGAGGTGGTATTTGCCGGTTCTCCGAACTACTCAAAATTTCCTCTACTGGTTCTCCAGAATCTGTCAGAACCTGCTGAATTTCACCCCTGGATAAGGGCATGATGAGTTATTGTCACTAGTTCTTGCTCCGGGTAGGGCTGCAAGAGTTGCACCAGCTCAAGCTAGGCCATTAAGCAGTAGCTGTCAAAGAAGAGATCCAAGTTGCGGACTTATTCTTTTGGAGGACATGCTATGCAAAGTAATAACCAGAGCCAACAGAGAATTAGATAGTCTTTTCACAAGCAGCAATGCCATCTTGCAGTTCAGCTTGTTTTGTCTCATCCAGGCCTTCGCAACCTCCATGCACTGGGTCGAGACTTCCATGGCATCTCTGACCCAGAGCAGTGGACTATAATTGAGCATTACTGTCTGCTCAGGAAGGAGCACTACTGCTGCAGAGCCAAGCCTCTTGTTAGCCAACCCTTATGCATCATCTAAAAAGGACACTATAATCAACTATGAAACATCAATGAGAATCAACTCGGAACACTTCTGTCACTCCAGGTTGTACCAAGTGGCCAAGGCAATGTCAGATCCATGTCCAGGTCTGGATCCTGACTGAAAAGGATCCATTACCTCTAGGCACTGTATATCTGAAGCCTACATCAACTTCTGAACGTCCCTTCCTAAAAAGGGAATCAAGGTGATAGTTGTCTAAATTAGATCCAAGGAAAGCCAGCATACTACCATCTTGTTAAAGACATCTGACTTGCACTTACCAGAGACACTGACCACTTCCTAATCCCTCAGGCCATCTGAAGGCACATCCATCTAAACTACAGGCCAAAAAACATCATATTGAAAAGGATCCTACTTGTCAGAGTCTGCAAGCAGAAATAAATACTGGACAACTATAAAAGCATTGCTTCTGGACCCTAAGATTCAAAGTCACGATTATGGCAAATTTTGCCAGTAAAATGTGCAAACGTTTCACAACAACCAGACAGTGGTGAAATCTGAACTGGTTTGCTACCGGTTCGCTGGCTGAACGCTCCGCACCAAGCGCGTGCATGCTCACTTTGTACCAAATGCGCGGTGCGCATGCATGCACAGTATGCACCAAAAGGAGGCTTGGGAAGGTAAGTAGAACAGTGGGGGGGGGATCAGCTGTGGCATGCGATCTTGGGAACCTTTTTAAAAGTAAAAAAAAGATTCTGATAATCGCGTGGCACAGCTTTTTTTTTTTTTTTTACCTTTTTAAAGCATTTTTTTTCTACCGGTTTGGGGGAAAAAGTAGTAAAAAAAAATTTTTAAA